CATGAATTATAATTCTAAATAAATTTTTAATAATTAATATTTTTCACAAATACTTTTATTTAAAAAAGTTATTAATAAGTAGTAGTAGGTTTTCATAAATTAAATAATAAATATATGTATCCGTAAATTAATAAATTAATAAATAAGATATCCGTTTAATATTTTTATTTAATATTTGTGATATGTTTTAGAATATTGGTAGAATGTGATTTATTTTGTGATCCTGATTCTAAGTCACATTCAATTCACCTAATTGTATGTCATAAATATTTTGAACTTTTTTTTATCCATTTGAATTAACTCACATCTACAGCAAAAGATAAGAAAAAAAAAGGAAAATTAAATTTTCCTACAAACTAAAACTAAATTATTTTTTAAATAAACATCTAATTTAAAAGAAAAAAAACGTAGATATTTTAAATTTTGTGGAGTGTGAGAGCAAGATATTATTTAGTTCATGAATGAAAGCCAATCTAAACGTGAATGACGATGAAAATGGATTTTACATCATCATTTTTAAGAGATTTATTTTATTTTTATTTTTTGAATTATACTTGTTCCGGACAAGCCCAATGAACGCATCCACTGTGACTAGCCCAATAGGGTCCAATTACTGCCCTGGTCCCAATACACTGACATGCCCCCACATGCACGAATTATGCAACTTGGAATACAGCAATATCCAACTTTTGTGCAATAAAAAATTATGACGATTTGTTTGACTTTTTGATAAATATTTACGAGAGAATGAGAATAAATAAAAATAAAAACAAAAATTTTTTTTTTTTATTTCATTCATCTCTGTAATATTTTATTTTCAAAGATCGTAATGATTATCTAAAAAAACAATTCCTCTCAAATTAACATCACTTTGCTTAAATAATAAACATGTTATATTTATAATTATTCTACAATTTGATATAATATATGTTTGTCCAGGTATATGTTAAAGCTGTAACCTTCAACGTGACCAGACAAAGACTTTGACGAGGTCAAACTCTACACCTACATAGCTGATGCAGCCATCTTCATCTGCATCTTAATTCTGACGACAGAAATTTGGGTGCGTTTAAAGCCCTAATAATGGTGCAATCTCTTTTTTAAACCAACTATAACATTTTACAGGAGTTGGGAGACTTGAAGATGCTTACCTAAGTTCATTACTTCTTTTAGTTTTTGGCGTGAGATAGAGGTTGAGTAAACCATCGTCACTCTCTCAATAATAGGCAGAACCTTCCGCACTTTAAAGAAAAGGCAATAGTAGGTTAAGAGTTATTTTTATATAAATTATTGGTAAAAGATGAGTAAGATTGCAAGAAAAAAGATAAATATTAAAGTATTGTTTTCGTTTTTATTTATAATATTAAAATCATTGTTATTTTTATTTTTTTCAAATTATTCGTAACGTTTCGGGCATTAATTAATTTAGAATACAATATCCCTAGTTAAAAGTGGGAGAAGTTGTATTATAACAAACGATCTTAAGAAAGGAGAATATTAATAATTAAGAATAAGTTAAAAAACATTTAAGATATATTTCTTCATCGGTAAGTTAATCACCTTCCTTAATCCCAATGAATAGGTAACTATATTTTTTATAAATAGAAAGTAGAGAGCATGGTGGAATAAAATGGTAATGAGATGAAAATAAAATGTATTTTTATAATTTTTCATCGGTTAAATCATTCATAACTTGTTCAAATAAAGTTACTTCTAACCTAATATTTTTACTAAATAATTTGGGATAACATTATTTCAAAATTCAAGAGAAAGAAGAAATAGGTTAAATTTGTCTATGCATTTTATTTTTCCATGAATTTTTAAAACTTTAATGCAAATGAAATATTGACATCAAATCAAGTTAATTCGATTACATAAAAACATAAAATTATGTTTTTTTTTTAATTTATAGTTATAATAAATTTAATATAAAAAATATTTTATATTTAATTACACGATAAAAAAATCAGGCTTAAACTTATTTATATTCCTAAAATGTATATAAATAAAAATACAAATTTTGACTCTTAAGACTCACTCCTTACCATAATTATAATATTTGGAATTATAATAAAAAGAACAATAAATTTAGATGAATCTTGCAAGATTTCTTACTTTAAATAAAATAATAATTCAATTATGTTGTATATTAATATTATTAATTAATTTGAATCTTTAAATCATGATACTCACATTTATCATAACTTTTTTAAGTGGTATAATTTTTTTATGAATTACAGAATAGAATAAAAGTTTAATTGTAATTTTCTTCCTCATATTGTACAAAATCCAAAACTTTGCTTATTATTATGTTTTAAAATTAGTTATTCAGTTTTTAATTATACATAAATTTATTCGTATTTAAGTTTAAAAAACGTATGTAATGACTATAAAATTATAGTTAATAACAAATACGTGATTTTTTTTTCGTTTAATATAAATTTTCATATATAACATATTGTATTTAATATTTACATGAGTAGCACACTTTTATAAAAAAAGTTAATATTTTGAGATTTTTTTCTTTACTAAAATCCTATTAAATTTATAATTTAGAAATAACATCATTCTAATAATATTTACTTGATTAGCACAATTTTTTTACAGATTTGGAATTCGATTCTTAAGAGTCCGAATTTCAACCTCACTAATTAATATAATTTTAAAAATAAAATAATATTTATTAAATATAATAATTAAATATAAATATATATAAATATTATATATATATATATATATTTTTAATTTGTTTATATAATTATATAATTAATATATTTTTATAAATATAGTAAAAACAAATATATTTTATATATATAATATTTAAATATTTATTTATATTTTTATAAGTATAATAAAATTTAATAAATATATATTTATATCTTTCTATATAAAAATTTTACATAAATAAACTATATATATTATTTAAATATATTTTTAATATAAAATAATTTTAATAAGTAAAAATAATATTTTTTATAGAAATATATAAATATTTTTATTATATTTTAATATATTTTTATTATATTTATAAAAATATATTAATAATATAATTATATAATATATTTTTATGTTAATTGTGCTTGAGGTAAACATTATTAGAATGATGTTAGTGAAGAAAAAAATCTCAAAATATTTGATTTTTGATAAAAGTGTATTATATATGAAAATTTATTTTAAAATAATGGTAAGCAGAAAAAAAAATTCAAATACGTAGCTTCTATCTAATACAATGTTACGATTATCATGTTTTTTTTTCTTCTTAATTTCAATGTATCATGTTTTAAATAACAAGAAAGTACGGATAACAATTAAATAAAAGTATAAATAATTAAAATATGGGAATACAAATCATGTTAAGAAAAACTCAGGTTGAAAATTGTAATTATGTCCAAAATAAAATATATGATGGCATTTTAGCTAAAACAAATTATTACATATTTCTTTAATAGATTTATTATTATTATTATTAGGCCATTGAAAACTTTTTATCCAAGTTCATATTTATTACATATTTCTTAATTTATATTCATTGATCATAAATATATATGTAAAGGAGGTAGTAAAAATAATGTATGGAATTGGTTGGAAATTTGTGGCATTTAAAAGCTCAGCACCAGTTACGCACTTCAATGAATCATTTATGAACATTTTCATATTTCCGTACCCAAATGAGTTCTTCGCTCGCGCTGATCCTGTAACAATCTCCATATGCATTACTTGTATATAATAACTGCTCACCATATTTACCAACATCTTTTCTACTTTTTTGGAAAACAAATATTCATTCCCATCATCCACTGATTTTTATTGTCAATTACAACATGAGAAATAGAAAAATATTACTTTGCTACCATAATTTAAATCGAATTACCTTTGCAAGATACTGCAATAAACAATTTAAGTTTTTCATTCTAAAAAATACATTACAATTACCAAAAAAATTTAAACCCAACACAAATCCTTAAAGATTGTATCGTGCCAATGTAGGTGGGAAATATTTTGTAACTTTTTTTATTCGGTGGATCACGACAACATTAACCGCACGGATATTTTCTCGCAATTACAGTGAGTAAATGCACTTTAGATGAATGTAAATAGAGAAAAATAAAATAAAATAAAAATAAGAGAAATTACTTAAATATATTAAAATTTTATTGTTTGTCTGGGGAAAAAAGTACTGTAATGAGCAGCATTTTTTTTTACAGAAATAATTTGATTCAAAATAAAAACAGACATTAATTTGAAGAACTTTTCTCGTAAAACTTGAAATTTGTATTTCTCACGCAATTCAAGGAGTTAACTTCTGTTTGGTCTTCTCTATTGCCATAATAATTTTATATTAAAATAGTAATATTAATATTTTTGTTAATTTTTTTTTTGTAATACATTTTTTGTATTTACTTACATTACTCTTCCTTTACTAAAAAAAATTATGAGTATCTTCGTTTCTTACTTTTATCCATCTAGGTTAATATACTTATAGACTTTTCACTTTTTTTTTCATTTTAATTATTCTAAAATAAAGTATGGATAACTCACCGAGTCAATAAAGAACACGTCACGTGTGTACTTAGTTGGATACTGACGGAGTATGAATAGAAGTTGCTATCCTTATTTGCATCATGTCTATACACGTAGATGAGTAGTTTTAAGCATGGATTTAAATACGAGTAAATAATAATAGTAGTAAATAAATAAATAAAAGAAAATGATTAAAAATTGCCAAATAAAGCTTGGAGGTATATCACATAGGTTTAAGAAAAAAGATGGCACGTGCGTGTTTTGGAAGCATCCTAATGGAAACGTGGTATAAATAAAACACATATTGCTTTCTTACTCTGATCTGAGTTGGGTGGTGGAAAGAAGCAAAAACGAAAAAGTAATCACAGAAACCCTTTTGTATCCTCATCTTCTTCTTCGTCTTCTTCAGATAAAAAATAAAAGAAAAAAAAAAAAAAACTCTGGTAGTGCACATCGAAAGGTGTGGGAGGTTGAATGAAATGTCGCAGGTGAATGAGCATCACGCGCCCTCAACGCCAGGGAAATTGAAGCCAGAAAAATCCCCTTACATCCACCACCGCCTCCGCATCCACTCCTCACTCTCTAAGCTCACTCTCTGGTCCTCCTTCTTTCTCGCATTCATCCTATTCCTCGTTATCTTCTCTCCGCCATCACCCTCGGCCTCCCCCCGCCGCGCCCTTGGCGACTCCTGGGGCGGCTCCCACTGGGAGAAGCGCGTCGCCAAATCCGCGCGCCGCTCGTCCACCTCCAGCCTAGCCGTACTCGTCACTGGCGCCGCGGGGTTCGTTGGCACGCACGTCTCCCTCGCCCTCAAGCGACGCGGCGACGGCGTCCTCGGCCTCGACAACTTCAACCGCTACTACGACCCTAACCTCAAGCGCGCACGCCAGCGTCTCCTCGACCGCGCCGGAGTTTTCATAGTCGACGGCGACCTCAACGACGCCGCGCTCCTCCGCAAGCTCTTCGACGTCGTGCCCTTCACGCACGTCATGCACCTCGCCGCGCAGGCCGGGGTCCGCTACGCGATGCAGAACCCTGGATCCTACATTCACAGCAACATCGCAGGCTTCGTGAACCTTCTAGAAGCCTGCAAAAACGCGAACCCCCAGCCCGCAGTGGTTTGGGCCTCGTCCAGCTCCGTCTACGGGCTCAATTCGAAGGTTCCGTTTTCGGAGAAGGACCGTACGGATCAACCGGCGAGCCTCTACGCGGCGACGAAGAAGGCTGGCGAGGAAATCGCTCACAGCTATAACCACATATATGGGCTTTCTATCACTGGACTTCGGTTCTTCACTGTTTATGGGCCGTGGGGCAGGCCTGACATGGCGTATTTCTTCTTCACGAAGGATATTCTCAAGGGAAAGCAGATTACGATATTTGAGTCCCCCGATGGTGGAACCGTGGCGAGGGATTTCACCTACATTGACGACATTGTGAAGGGGTGTTTGGGGGCTTTGGATACTGCCAAGAAGAGTACTGGGAGTGGCGGGAAGAAGAAAGGGCCTGCGCAATTGAGGGTTTTTAATCTGGGGAATACTTCACCTGTACCTGTGAGTGAGCTTGTTGCGATTCTGGAGAAGCTTCTGAAGGTGAAGGCGAAGAAGAAGGTGCTTCCCATGCCAGCAAATGGAGATGTGAAGTTCACTCATGCCAATATTAGTTTGGCTCACAGGGACCTTGGGTACAGGCCTACAACTGATTTGGAGACTGGGCTCAGGAAGTTTGTGAAGTGGTACCTCGAATTTTACTCCAAGAAGAGCTCTTGGTGAATGGTGATGTGATTCTTTTGCTTTGATGCACAAGTCATTGTTCCCCTGCCCCTATTCTTTTGGCGCCCTGCTGTTGACTGTATTTGGGGTTTACCTTAGGGGTTCAGGGTGACCCGGCATCATGTTCCGTTCTGTACTTTTTCTTGTAATTTTGGGTTTTTTTCATTTTCAATTGTATGCCTGCCTGCCTTTTAGGTTAGCCATTGTACATTTTTTAGTTGAGACTCCAGAGATCGAATTGATATTTTACATATTTGTGCTTATGGACTTTCATTTCTGTGTTTTTGGTTTAAATTAGCGTGTTGTTTGGTTGATGAGTTACCTGCTTCCTGCATGTAATGCTAATTCATTTGGGTATGAGATATGTTTGGTACAGATTCCGGTTCTAGATGAGAGTAGTTTTGGTCGTAAATGTGCAGGTATAGACCTGTTTTAGATGAGTCATCAGGCTTGTTGAACTGTAATTCAGAATGCTATTTGTTTTAAGAATGTCACTTGATCTCTCGTTCTTTTTACATGTTTATGCCATCTGTGACTGCAACTTTGGTTTGATGACTGATTAATTTAACAACTGACCGTTGTTGTGAAATGGTATTTAAAACCAAGAGCAAAATGATAACTGTGTATTTGTTCATGGATGACATTATAGTAAGGTGGATTTTGATTCTATGCGAGAAAGTTTGATTGTGTCAATTTGTCTCAAATGCTTCCTTCTTAACACGTATTCTTCAGATTTTTCCTGAGAGTTTAGTCTTTTCTGAATGATCGAGAGTAGCTTAAACTGCGAACGCATTCAAGATCAGACACAGATGCTGTGTGACCTTAATCTTATCCTTCAACAAGGCAAAAAGTGTACCTCGTAGATTTCGAAATAAGCTTTTACATGTGCGAGTAAATTGACAGGGCAATTGCTAGTTGTTACAGCCTAATGATGAATCAGTAGTGTAGGCTGTGGAGCTGCAGCATTCGCTTTGACTCGCGGAATGCCCTAATCAGGTAGTAGTACCATGAGGGGTTACGATACGTAGTAGCTCAAAATTCTTGCATTCAAAGAGACTTTTATTAATCCTTTCTTCAGTACTATTTTTAATCTGTTTTGTGAGTTCAAAGTAAGTAAAACTTCATTTGTCAGCTAGAGATTGATTGAAGACAGGCTATCTTGCTGTAACTGTTGCGTAGTTGGCAGACAGTGATTGAAGAAGCTTCATACCGGTAAAGTTGGATTGTGAAGTCTTCATTCCTCATTTTAGGCGACACACTGTTGATTCTTGTACAGATTAAACGAAAGCTTCTTTCCTACAAGGGTCATCGGGTCGCCCGTTGATCTCATCATCATGTGCCTAATTGGGAGAGTCCAACTTCCCACATGATATTCTGCTAGTTAGGTGTTTTCTAACTTGCAAATCTGAACCATTTTTATGTGAGGAGCGAAAGGTAAAGAGGTAAAGAGGTGAAGTAAGAACTGCGGATCTTACCAATAGCTGACTCATACTGTTGATCTTTATAGCACACACCGTGACTTATGAATCTTGAAAATCAATTCATTTAACAGAACGCGTCAAAATTTGTTGATCAAGCTTTTGTTCATTTGATAGCTGGCTCACTCCCTCATCAAACTCAATGGAGGGGCCATCTTTGGATTGTGTTTTCCACTTTTAACAATTTCAGTTCTCATAATGATGACACCCAAGCACGCAAACTCCTTTCCATGTCGTGGTTGTCTTGATACAATTTCCTTTTGGACAATTTTGATCTTTGCTGACTCTAACATTTTTTCTCTATGATGCTAAATTTTTTACTATCGAGTGGTTGGTGGAGTGACATGTTGGATTCTCTTTTAAGTAAGGAAAATTATAAAAAAAAAAAAAAAAGAATTATTTTGTCATACTGTGTGTTACCTTCGAAAAAGATGTTTAAAAAATGGTACCTGTTCTATTAAAAAAATTGTTGATGCTTGCATCAACTATGAACAATTTACTTCTAAGATTTGTCCTCTTGTCCATTTGTTGCGATCCTATGGACTCATGAGCTTTTTGGATGGCAAATATAAAATTTAAATCAGTTGTATAAGTTGGATGTTCGTTCCAAGTCTTGACGAGCTAAAAAGGATCGAGTTCATGCTGTGTAATGACAGCGTAACAACTATTTAAAGAGATAGAACTCTTCAATTTTAAATATTAAACTTAAAATTTAATCATATTCAGAAGAATAATAATTATTAAGCGCAACATCGCTAACCTCCCTCTCAACGAACTACTCAATCTTGACCGTTTGAAGCTTTGTGTACGTTGAAACTGGACCAATGTATTTTTTGTTTTTTCGTTTAAGAAATAAATGTTGTATCAAATGAAGATTGGACCAAGTCATAATGATATTTAGTTTTTGTTGGTAATAAACGCAAGTTCTATGCGCGGACATTAAACTGATAGTACAAAAGACAAAAACAGAAAATGTAATTTCTTAATTTTAAAGATTAATGTTAGAAAATTATTCTTAAAAACAAAATATAATTATTAATAAAATCATGAATATTATTGATAAAAAAAATATTTATCAATTTTTGAAAACAGAAAATTATTTTTATCTTTGGTTTCGAGAAAACTGAAAAATTTAAAAACAGAACAAAGCCTTAATTATGTTTTGTAGTAGCATAAATGGACAGAGAGTTTTAATTTGACGTCAGAAGGGGTCCATAGATTAGATGGCATGTGCGTGCCTGCAATACCAATAATGCATAGACATAGACGTAGCTGGAATTGAAGGATGGACATGGCATAAGCAGTGCGAGTGAAGACAGCCACCCACCCTTGCGTTGCGAATTAGCGTTGTAACCATGAAAGGCGTCTTTTCGGCGCCCGGTGATTACGTCCACTTCAAGTCCCAAGTCCCTCTTCACAAAATCCCAGTACGGGTCTATTTTCCCCTTTTCTTTCCCCCGATTCCACATTTCTAGGTTTTACCCATAGATTCCAATATATCATGATTTCTTAATCTACAGATTGGAATTTCTGCTTTCTGTTTCATCTCTTACTTTTATAATCTTAACAGATTGGCACTAAACAGTGGCGATATTACGATTTCGGTCCAAAACCTGTACCTCCGCTTATATGTCTTCCTGGAACGGCTGGAACCGCTGATGTATATTATAAACAGATCATGTCATTATCTATGAAGGTACTACTGCATATTCTGATAGCATAAACATTATCACATCTAATGTGTTTCACTGAGCACACCATCCACCGGGAGCACTACCTTTTCTGTGGGGCTTGAATATTACCTAATCTTGACTCATTCCTCATACATCAATAGTTCTGGTTTGGAGCTTATTTGAAATCAAATGCATGCTTACGTGGATGATTTAAGTTGTGTATGTGTTGACGCTTTCAGTTCCATTCAATGCCAATTCATCATTTCTCTCCAGTCACGTTCAACTGCATTGGAATATGTGAGAATGGTTTTATTGTTAAGGTTGGCATCTTTCTTGTTTGAGCAATCAACAGAACGATCCACTCTGATATTATTATTGAGAAATCCTAGGAAAGAAATACTGGAGAGATCTTAAACAAATTTGTCACGATTCGATACACGAGAAAACATAAATGTGTCTTCAATTCAAGACATTAAGAGAATAAGTTTGTGGGGCTTGCTAACTTGTATTTTATTTCTTAATTTTGAGACTCTAGTTCACCCTTAAACTCTGACATTTTACTTGTTGAAACCCGCTTTCATATGCTCTCTCTCTTGCCACAGAGCCTTCAGGCAACGGGTAGCTAACTTAACTGCTCTTTTGCAGTTCTGCTACTAAACGAGAGAGTAATAACCTAGAAACTCAGCTAACTGCAGGATGACATGTAGTTAGTGAAGAACTTGTTTTGGCTATTTAAATGGTTTAATAGGTATCACTTTATTAATCATAAATTGTGAATTCTAAATATATGGATTGAATTTTAGAAAACCATAAGCAAAAGATGCTGTTGTGATATGCGCGGTTGATAGCGCCCAAGAATACATGCCAAAAGACCAAATGGTAGATCAATTTATTCATGGCCCAAAAAATTGATATTTTACTGCAGAAGATCAATGGGGGCCACGAGGAAGTCAGAGTGAGGAATAGGTTGCTATCTAAATAGAAGAATGGTGAGGTCATTATCGGATTTATAGAATGTGCTGATGAGGAAAGGGAAGGTAGTGCATGGCTGCAAAACTTTTTTAGGCCATAGGCTAGGGCTCAAAGCTCTGGGAGCTGAGAGAGATATCTTACATCGTTCCCTTTTCTGTTTTTTTTTTTTTTTTTTTTTTTTTTCCAGCATTGATAGCCTTTGTTTAGTGATTTCACTTTTCGACTTTTAAACAGAATACCATTTTCAGAGTTTATTTCTTTGTTCCCTATTCCTATTACCGCTCCATCTTTGTGACTGATATATTCTTCTCTTATAACAAGAGAAACGGGTGTATTGAGCATTGACAATAAAATTTGAGCACTATATAATAAAATCTCATCACTTGTTGCTATTAACAGGATTTGGCTAAAGTTTGTTTATTGATTGGGTATATGCTTGCATTTACTTTTTATTCATCCTCATACTGCAATTCTAGGATGAGTAACCAAAGTTTACATTTTGTACAGGGTTACCGTGTCATATCTGTTGACATACCACGTGTATGGAATAATACTGAGTGGATTCAAGCATTTGAAAAGTTCTTGGATGCTATTGATGTACACCATGTATGATCTCAAACTTATCATGCTTTCTACTACCAACTTTTTACTCATATAGATGCTAAATCTATAAGTTGTATGCTTTTGAAGCCACATATACTTTTCTTCGTATCAAATAATGCGATAACTTTATTCCATGTTGGAGACATTGATCATTCCAGTTAATGGAATGCCATGGTCTGCAATTAGTTTAAGCAGAGTTATTTTAAAATCTCTCGAGGTTCTTATAATTCAGTTTTGCGCATCCTCTAGTGTTCATATATAATACAATTTTTTTTTTTTTTATTTTGGTTGTGCACCATTATAATTTTGTTGGGAGCTGTCATATGTTACGACTTTGGAATTTGGATATTGTGTAGGATGTCTATTCACATGTATCCTAAGGAGGGAATGGTAAAGGATTTATTTATGCCAAACATTACAAGTCCAAGCTGAATCCAAACCCCATCCAACTAACAATCTTGGAGCATCAGCCCAAATGTGGAACTATAATAAGACTTACCATTCGGTTTGAGCATCTTTGAACTTTCTCACTGAAAATTGTTAATTTCAGTGAACTGATTGCTTATAATAAATTAAATTTATATATCTCCTTCCTTCCCAGACTATTGAAGCCAAGTTCTTTTGCAAAATATTTGAAGCCCCAGCATGAGCCTAAATATATTCCAATCACGCCTAGAATACAGGCTATCCTGCTTTTAATGTTTTCATGGTTGTAATGCCGTTGTTACCTACAATATCATGCATGGTTTTAATGTAGTTAAATTTTAGGTTTATTTGAATAAAGTTCCAAATGCTCTTACCAAAACATTTCAACGAGGGTGCAGTTTGCCGCTGGATTTTTTGTTTCTTTTGTTTGGTTAAACTCAAGTTCTTGTTCAATTATATTTTCATCACTTTATCTTGTACGATTAATCTGTTCTAGAAGTTAAATCTATCAAGTATCAACGATATACATCTAAATGATTTATATAATTTTAATCTGTTATGAAATTGCTTAGTATGAAATTTGCTCTACACAATGCATGATTTTAGTAGTTTACCCAACAAATCTCTCCAGTAACTGCTCAACATGTCTAAATGTCTGTCAGTGGAACGTCATCTTTTGCATCTATAATTTTGTGACATAGCTTTCAACAACTTGAGTAAATGTTCAGTAAATTAGTTTAATAATTCTTACAGATACATCTTTATGGTACATCACTTGGAGGCTTCCTAGCCCAACTCTTTGCTCAGCATCGTCCTAGAAGAGTTCGATCGTTAGTTCTATCAAACACATTTTTGGAGACACGGAGTTTCGCCGCTGCAATGCCATGGGCGCCCATGTACTTTTCTCATATTCTATTGTAAAGAGTAATAATAATAGATATAGGCTAGAAATGAGCAAACTATTTTTCGTCAATTCCTTTTAATTTATGAAAGATAGACTGCTTTGTGTGTCACCTAGTGGAGTTCGTAGCAAATAAAAATCAAAGATTACTTTACTTATATGCACGGTGGACAATTATTTGCACTGGCAAGATATTGTGATAGGTATACTCACAAGAAAACTAGAATGATATCTTCAAAATTACAGATTTATCTCTGTAATATTCCATTAAACTAAGCAAGCATCCATGATTATTATTGTGAGCACTTGGCGATACATATGGTATACCCGACCATAGAATGATGAACCCCTCCCCTTAAACATTTTGTCCAACAAAAAAATGCATCATCTGTCCCGCTTGGGCATGTTATACTTCCTGATAGTTCTTCAGTTGATGTATTTTGTTTTCCATCTATTAATCCATCTTTTTTATTGCATTTACAGTGTTAGTTGGACTCCTTCCTTTTTGCTGAAGCGCTATGTGTTGACAGGAATTCGTGATGGTCCTCATGAACCATTTATTGCAGATTCGGTGGACTTTGTTGTTTCTCAGGTAATCTTTTTCTTGCATTATCAAATGCTTATCAGCAATCTGCTACCGTGCCTCTCAGGTATGCAAGAGTTTGTTTTGTCTTTTGGGAACTAGTCAACTATAATCTGGCACTCCATATTTCCTTAAAATGCTAATCTATATCCAATTTTTAAGAAACTTTTTGGATTTGGCATTTATTGTACTAAATAGATTGTTTGATCTACTCAATTCAGGTGGAAACTCTCTCTAGAGAAGATTTGGCCTCCAGATTGTCGCTGACAACTGATGATGCTTCAGTGGGACCACTTCTTCTTTCAGATTCATTTATCACTATAATGGATGTATGTCCTCTCCAGTCATAATTTCAAGATTTTTTATTTTTTTTGCGTAGTTATTTTATAACTTAATTGTTGAATCTCTAGATCAATTGGTAATCTTATTGTTTTAATGTGCCTATGTACAACCTGTCTTTCAGTGATGCCATTCCACTCTAGTATTCTAAATTTGCTGGTACCGATTATTTCTATAACTCACCATAGATATTGTGGTATTCATTTTGGTTGTGACATTGTGTGATGATAATATCTGTCTGTTTTTATCATCGTCGTCCTTATTATCATGACAGAGTAATATGGTACAAAAATTTTCAATAACTCCACTTTCATCCTTTTACATGGGCTTGCTCCTTTCTTAAAGACTAATGACTACTGTGCAATTCCTCAACAACTTAAAGATCAACTGGGTGAAAGATACCCCGAGGCAAGGCGCGCATATTTGAAAACAGGTGGAGATTTTCCATTTCTTTCAAGACCCGATGAAGTCAACTTACATCTTCAGGTATATATAATATCTGACTTATGTGGGATATCCTGACACTGTTGGGCTCATGGGTTTGTGTTTTAACATGTCTATATCATCATGGCAGTTACACCTCAGGCGTGTTGGTGTGGAAGCTCGGCTAGATTTGGTTCACAACATACCTAAAGGTGATCTTGGAGGAAGTCCTAGCAAAGAGAATAACGAAGATGACTCTGACAAGTCTCAGGAGGATGATAGAGGAGGGTTAGAAAATTCACCTGCTGAATATGGGATAAATCCTACCCCAGAAAGCTCAGGATCCAGTAGCTTAGAGAAGCAGCCACTCGATAGTTCAGAATGTTGCAACTTGGATCATGAACTCGCCTTATATGCCTTTCCTGGTGGGTTCACGAGGGGAAAGAACATTGTGCTTCCTGGAACTTCTGTACATTTCGTGTGGGACTATATTAATCTTTTTCATCTTCTTCGTTACATCAGTTCACTGTACATTATCTGGAACTATTCTTTGGAATATAGGCAAGTTCTGTAAGTCGGAATTCTTTTAGATATACTGTGTATCATGAGAACCGAGGGCGTGAAACGAAGTTTTAAGATGGACCGTATTGTGGATTGGATTTCTGAGAGCTCCTTTAGCTGGATGAACATGAGATAGCGATCTTGAATTTGCTATTTGAAACAATGGTTTAAACTGATAAATCATCAAATTTTATATCCTTCCTTTGTATTTTTTTTTTTTTTTTTTGGGACAGATTCTTCCTCTATTGAACTATGAAGTCAGATAGTGATCATGTAAAATTTTACCTTATTATTTATTTAATCAGTTATTGAAAATCAAAGAAAAGGGAAGGAGTAATGATCATAAACCACCACAATCTTGAATCTCCACATTCAAATATTTATAGATAGAAAATAATATGATAAAGAAAAAATCTTAATAAGATAATAAATCAAGTTTCTCTATAGAGATTGGTTATTCAGATTAGTCACAAAGATAGTAGATAGTTCGCAGATAACCATTGCAGAATATTCTTCAGTTGTAATCCAACATAGTTCCATAGACTAATAATTGGCTAAATTGCAAATGATCAGAATATCGATATCATCTAATTTTATTGAATAAAATCGGAGCTTCAGAACTGCATTAATTTGAATTATCGGATATCCAATTCCACCTCAGTCTAAAATCTACCATAACCATACATCTCAGTTTGCAAATTCTTAACAACTTACAGCCGCCACTCTATGATTGATTAGCTCAAATTCACTTTATTGTGCAAGTATCTGGCTGATTTGGTGCATTGTATTACGGTACTAATGCTGATATTGATATGTTTATTGGTTTATCAGCTGTTATGATTGTACAACAGGGTATCTCAACCCGCAACAGGACTAATGTATTACGCGAGAGAAATTTATGCCTTAAGCTTCTTATTTTACTATTCTCTGACTACAACATTAGATCAAACACAAGTGGTATCCGATGAGTAGTAGCTCTCACAAAATTCAGTGGGTACACAATTTTTAACTAGCGTGATCAGTCCTTGGCCAATATTATAAAAGAAATGTAGTCGGAAAATTATTCTCTTCTTTTCGTCAGATCGTCATGGTAATCAAATACAAGGGATTTTTGTATAAACAGTAAGAACTAATGTCTTGCACAATAAAAATTTATATTACTAACATGTAGGGCACACGCGATCAATATTTATATAATTAAAATTAATCATTGTAATGAATTGACATTTAACATATAGTATATTACAAAAAATATTCATAAAAATATACTTATCATATTTGATCTATAATAAACAATTTAATTAAGGACATAGTTATTAACTATTCATTCATAAAATAGTACTATTAAACTCCGAATTATATAATCTTGTAGAACAATGTTTGGATGGCAAAGTTGACAATTGAAGACTAAAATATGATTGAGAAGTTTTAAAATAAAATTGTAATGAATCGCTAGAAAAAAAAAAAAAAAACAAGATAAAAGTAAAGCCATGTTGCCTGCATTCGTTTAGTAGACAACGAGTTGCTCCATTGTAGTATAAATTCTCACAACGCCATTTTACAAAATCAATCTTGTTTAACATAAAATATAATAACAGCTTCCAAACACCATTTGTTGAGATAAATGAAATAACGCGGAGAGAACGTAGAACATGAAAGGATACTCATCGTCTGCGGAAAGCATCGCTGATTTGGGAACTACTTTTCAAAAACTTAACAATTAAAAAACACATTTTAAGACTAATTTTAATTCTTTCACTTGTATTTGTGGCGATAACTGACTTTAGCCAACACTAGCTGAAACAAAAGCAGTCACCAATACGATCCGTCAAAAGTAAAAACTTCTCATCATATATATTACTCGAAATTAAAACCAAAAACCGCAGTCAGCCATCTCTTTAAAAGACAACTTTCAACAGCTTAAGAAAAAAAAAAAAAAACACCACATTGATAAAGTTACTTAACTACTTGAAGTATCTTTCCCATTCTAACCACAAGTTCTTAGCATAACTAAAACCACATTACCTATCCAGCCTTCAAATAAAACATCAAAATGATATGGCGAATTGCTAGCTCAACAGTAACTTCAACGCAGTAAAACCCATGAAAGGTGCAGACATTCTCTAAGCAACCAGAGTGCTAGCAGTTGATGATTCACTGCAAATATCGCAAGTCATTAATAGCAACACAGGGACAGTGCAAACAGGAAAAAACAAAATTGGATCTCAGTTTACAAATTCACAACTAGCAGTTAACATCAATAGAAATCCAATTTGAAAATAATCATTTGTATGTAACATACAAAATAATGTAAAGTATGCATCCTACACTTCTAGAAAAGTGTCTATCAGCATGACACTATGATTGGTTTTGAAATTATATACACCACATTCAGGAGATCACAGATCTAAAGGACAAATGATAAGCTAAGTAGTTACTCATACCGCTCATCTCAATAAATACTTAAAATCTGCTTCCAAAACAGACTCAAAGTGTATGGGACACAGCATTTTAACGACTAATACTGAGAGAAACAAGGAAGGCTCTCTAATATGTGTAGGAGAGGCAGGGAGAAAGTGAGCCTAACCACTTCCTGTCACTTCCACTACATTGCTCACAGCTTCAAAGCATATCAATATGAAATATAACATAAATATAAACTACAAGACATTTTACCCCTAAGCACTGTTTTATTCAAATTGTTGCATTGACAAAATCATAGCAAAAAAGCCAGATGTGCAACAAATAGGTGAGGGGTTTGAAGCTACTTACTACTTCCAAACAGGTGGGAGCTTCTTAGTCTTCTTGTAGTAGCGAGCCAGTCGGTGGATTCTGCTCTCCACAAGAATCAACCTAAACTTGGAGTCCTTGTCCTTTCTGTTTCTCTCCAAATGTTTCCTAATTGAAACTGCCTTCTTAATCAAATGGTATAGATCCTCTGGAATTTCAGGCGCCAGCCCTGAAACCAATTACCAAAACATTTCATTCATCATTATTATAAATAGGGTAATTATATACATATACTCCCTTTACATCTCAATCCCACCTCATTTTTTCTTCCTACCTCACTCTCTTGTTTTCCCATTCACATCACTCATCACATCTTTCACTTCCCTTCCTATTCTTTTCTTTTTCTTTTTATTTCTCTTCTTACAACTATCCATCAACATTTTCCATATTACAATCACCCAAAAAAAAACAGAAACTGTAAGCATTATAGCAGTGAGTAAGCACAAACCGTGAGCTTTAAGGATCCGAAGGATTTTGCTGCCAGTAACGCTCTTCACCTGAGCAATACCGTGAGAATCTCGAAGAATGACACCAATTTGAGATGGGGTCAATCCCTTCTTCGCGAATTTGCAGATGTTTTCTTCCACCTAAACAGGGAAAACAAATTACATCATTTAGAAGGTGAGAAAATCACGATACAGAAAATAAAAATCTTTGAACTCCGAGAGAAAAAGAACTACATCTTGCGAAGAGATCTTAAGCCAACTCGGAGGTGTCCTCTTGTAGGGCAAAGCGGAAGAGGAGATACCCTTACTGGAATCAAAGGAAAAAAAAAAAAAACTTTTATTGTCAATAATGGAAGAGAATAGAACGAATTTGACGAAAGAAGTTGAAAGAATAGAACGAACCCGCTGCTATGCATACGACCCATGGCTGATGGCTGTCACTCGGTTGAAGCTGGCTAGGGTTGCGACGCTCTTCAGCACACTTCACGCTAAAACCCTAGAACATGCGCCCTTCCTTATTATTTATAAAAGAGACGGCCAATGCTACGTCGTTTTTGAAACAGTATTTAAAAACTAAAAGTTAAAACCAAACAATTTTTAAATTTTATTTCTAGTATTATTTCAAATATTAAATTAAAAACGTCTATTTTAAAAAATTATTTATTAATTTTTAATTGATATATTTAAAATTGTAATTCATAAAAATATGATGACATACGTTATCATATTATTTCAAATAATGATAATAATATATTATTTGAATTTTAATTATTAAGAAGATTTTTTGAATATATTCAATATGATCGATATATATTGAAAATGAAGAAATGTCAAAAATAAAACTTTCAATAACTTTTGTATTCCTAATTTCTATAACTCATTTTTTAAGACTGGTCTTTTTCTAAAGCTTTAATCTTGATACATGAAATTTCTATATATTAATTCAAAAACGTTTTTCTTTTTTTACTAATACCATGAAAGTAAATTATATATATATATATATATATATTTGTAAATTTATTAATAATTGTCTCTTTTTAGTTGGATTTTTTTTTCTATCTGTCAAATTAAAAAAAAAAACTTTATGAAAATGGCTTTGCATATTAGCCTAATACTTTTATGTTGTGTTTGTTTGAACTGATTTGCGACGAAATACTGTTGACGAAGACAGAAGCACGAGATTCACCCACATTTGGTTGAACAAATTTGCGAAGAAATGCAGGCGAGGAAAAGGGGGAGAGGGGAGAGAGACTTTCTTCGCTAATCTGCGAAGAAAAGAGACGAAAGTCTGCTGGAGATAATGAAATGTGCAACTTACCCTCTTCCATATGATAGCGGTTAAATCTTAACCGCTATTATAATAACACTTGTAATAGCGGTTAAAACTTAACCGCTATTATATATCACTTCTAATAGCGGTTAAAACATAACCGCTATTATATATCACTTCTAATAGCGGTTAAATCTTAACCGCTATTATATATCACTTTAGATAGCGGTTAAAGAGGAACCGCTATTATATCCTCCAATTATGATCGATCATTTCTTAAATATAATCGATCAGAATCATATTTCGCTCGAGCGAGAAATAGTCGCTCAAGCGAAACACAACCCGAGACTGAAGAAATTAAAATATGGTTGTATATGATAGCGGTTCCACTGGAACCGCTATCTAATATACACTTTAGATAGCGGTTACAGAGGAACCGCTATTATATCCTCCAATTATGATCGATCATTTCAAATTATGATCGATCAGGATCGTTTTTCGCTCGAGCGAGATATAGTCGCTCGAGCGAAATGCAACCCGAGACTGAATCTTAAAATATTTTTTTGAATATTATGTTTTTAAATTTGCTATTAGAGAAAACCTTTCAGAATTCAAAATGTTAAATACTTTTAAATATTAAAATTAACTTTATCAAAAATTAGGAAAACAAAATTTATCCAAAAGAGTTCAAAAATGTATAAAGTATTTCCAATTTAGAGTTTAATTATATTGTTCATTTCTCAAAGTAGAAATTTATATTGTAGTTATTTAATTTACATTTTGTGATCTTCTTAAAATTAGCATCAATAACATTAGACTTTACATTTGATTCATACCTAACTAATTATAGATTAAAAGGAAAGTGGTATAACCATGCATTTTACTTTTCTATTTACCTTATTCTTTTAATTATTTTATATAATAATAATCAAAATATTCACATGAATATGGGCATTTTCGAAAATAATATTATTGTATTATTGTTAAAATTAACATCAATAACATTACACTTGATCTTCTTAATTATATTGTTCATTCTCAAAGTAGAAAATTATATTGTAATTATCTTCAATTTATTAAAAGTGTAATTAAATCTCTATTTTCTTAATTTTTTTTGTTTCAAACTTCTCAATTCTACATTTTTGTAACTTCTATCATTATATTATCATCTTCATCTCCTCCCATGTTCTACTTTATCTTTACAATAGTTAATATTCTTAAATAATCTATATTTTTAATTATAATTTTTTAATATATATTTCAGAAATTAATCAATTCTAAGCTATTATTTGAAAAACTAATCAATTCTAATCAATAATTTAGAAAAATAATCGATTAGAATTAATTATTTGAAAAAATTATGAAATATGATCGATCATTTCGAAAATCTAATCGATCAGAATCATATTTCGCTCGAGCGAGATATAGTCGCTCAAGCGAAACACAACCCGAGACTCAAGAGATTAAAATATGGTTGTATATGATAGCGGTTCCACTGGAACAGCTATCTAATATACACTTTAGATAAGCGATTACAGAGGAACCGCTATTATATCCTCCAATTATGATCGATCATTTCAAATTATAATCGATCAGGATCGTTTTCGCTCGAGCGAGATATAGTCGCTCGAGCGAAATGCAACCCGAGACTGAATCTTAAAATATTTTTTTGAATATTATGTTTTTTAATTTGCTATTAGAGAAAACCTTTCAGAATTCAAAATGTTAAATAATTTTAAATATTAAAATTAACTTTATCAAAAATTAGGGAAACAAAATTTATCCAAAAGAGTTCAAAATGTATAAGAGTATTCTCAATTTTGAGTTTAATTATATTATTAATTCTTAAAGTAGAAAATTATATTGTAATTATTTTATCTCAAGTTAATGTGATGAGACGATCATCAACATTTCAACATTCGGAGTCAGATATATGGGACATCTTCGTCTCTCCCAGTTGTTCATGTTCTTGAGTGGAAGTGATTGAATGATCTGAACTGGAGGACTTGACTGCAAAAGATGAATAACATTATAATTATTTGTTTGAAGAGCATTAGTGTGCATAGGTTTATAATTTTAGTAATGTTTCATTTAATTATTATTCTATTTTCACTGTATTTTATATTTGTTTTAAATAATAATGTACAATTATATTATTAGTTTTCATAATTATTTGTTATTATCAGTCAATATTAATTATTATTTTATATTTTATAATTATTTAATTATTAGTCAAATAATTTATTTAATATGTCAACATTATTTGAATATGGATATGCAATGTACATAATTTTGTAATTGTTTATTTATATAATTTTTAATAACTATCTAAAAAAAGTTAATTTTTTAAATTTGTTTCCAATTACAAACACTTTTAATTTTGTTTTTTCTTTTAAATATATAATCAATGTTAAAATATGGATAATTAATTAAAAATTTATATTTATAATCATTTGAACCTTATTTTATACAAAGGGTAAAATGGTAATTTTCTTAAATAATCAACATAAAATTATAATTTTTATATCTCATATCAATCAAATCATTCACAATTTCCCATAAACTTTCCTTTCACTTTTCAATCATCTCCATTTCTCTTCAAATCCCTCCTTTTCCACTCTCTCAATTTCACTCTCTCAAATCACTCCAACCAAACAAAGCCTTAGAGTCAAAGTTAATGATAAATCTCCCAACCGGTTTAATTTGAAGGTAGTACATTTTGAATAAACCTCTTGTACAGTTTTTTTATCCATGAATTTAACACATATAATAGAGTTTTTTTTTTTAAACAATGTTATTCATAAAAGTGATACTAAAAACACTATCATAGTAATTATTTTTAAATAATTTTTTTAAAATTATAATTTTAGAAAGTATTTTACGCTAATTTTCTTGAGTGTAACAATATGTATAAATAATTAAGTAAATTTAAGTCGGTAATTTGCAAATTTCAATTGAAAAACTAATTAGTCTGTTTTATTCATAATATCATTATTTTTTTAAATTGTTTTATTATTTAAAAAAAGACGTTTATACATTTTTAAAATTTATACTTAAAACCAATTATGATTTGTTTAAAACACATTGATAATAATATTTTTTAAGTAAAACAAAAGGAGTAAAAATTATCAACTTATTTATAGCTAAATTGGTAAGAGATTTTATATCACTAAGTATTAAGTTATTGCATGTCATGAAAATCTTATATAGATTAGATATATGATAATATAATAGTATAGAAATAAATATAATTCTCACTTTATTTTTAAGGTTAAATAAAGTATGTAACAATTTATAAAATAGTATTATAATTAATTTTATATATGTTGGGACATTAACGGTTAATAGTAATAGATTGTGTGATGAAAAAACTTCTTAAATGTGAGGGAGATGTTGAGACATTATTTGTTAACTGTAGTGAACTAAATCATCTATTATTGGATCAATATTAGGGAATATGATAAAATTTTCATCTTATTGAACCGATTTTATAAAATTGAATTAGGTATATCATAATTTCTTAAAAAAATAGTTATTTTTTCACCTCATCTTCATCATTTTCCAAGTTGATAAAACATTGGTTGAAAACAAATAGGCAAGGATCAAAGTGATCATCTTCCAAGTACCTTATTAAACTCTTTCTTCTTTTCCTTAATTTTTTTTTAAAAGTCATTATACATTTTCATAGACCCTCTATTTATTCTTTAATCATGAGTTTTTTTATTGTAATTTAAATATGAGTGATTTATATATTGATTTCCTGACAATTTTATAGGATCTTTGGAAGGGATTTACTGGGTGAGAAATAAGAAATATGAGTTCAACTCACAAAAGGGATTGACACTACCTTTAACAAAAAAATCTCCCTCTTAATGGTAAGTCTCATCACATCAGCCCTTTCATGTAACATTCATCGTAACGGGACATGCTTATCAAATTCACTATTAAACAGACTTTCAATATAAAAATCACTTTTAAATTGTCAATCACAACATAAACCATTGGTTTTGATATCACTAAAGGGTCTTTCGTAAGAAATTTACTAATAAGAAACAATATTAATAACACATGAGTTCAACTGACACCATATTCAACCCAAAATCTTTAAGATATTAGGTTAGTATTTTTTTTTATATTGTTCAACTTTTTCATTTTTATTTAATGTGAAAGTTAGACTTATATTTGAATTTCCAATAAACCCGATATAATAATATATATTATTATATCGATTATTTATTGAATTTTTTAAGTTATCAAAATATCATTTGTGTCTAAATAAATATTAACAAAACATTACAAAGTGCTTTTTTATTGTGCAAACCTAAAGAAAGTTCACTCGTAGTTAAAAACTTACACGTTATTTTAATACAATAAAACTAAGTGAATTACAGAGTAATTCAATATAACTATTTACAAAGAAAAAAAGTTTGTCTTGATATTTATATCTTAGGAATTACTTGTAGTTGAAAACTTATACACCATATATCATAGAAAATTAGTATTGAAAAACATATTTCTACTTTTTTTTTGTTTGCATATAAATGGTATACTTCATTGAATAATGATTTTTAACATTAGTTTTATTTTTATTTTTTCACTCTAAAAAAATCAAAACAAATTATGTATTCTTCGTATGTGACATCAATGTTGTATAGATTGTGTATATTTAAGAGTGAAATAACAAATCTATAGCTATTTAACAAATATACAGACAATTTTCTTTATATATAAATACACACACTCACACAAGTTAAGATGACAATTCAAATCATAATACACATTTGATCTTCATCTCATTATCAATTTATCTTAAACTATATTTAATTTGGTTTATGCATGCGAAAAAACGAAATGAAAAAAAAAAAGATCTTTATGTTTCATTGTTGGGATTCATAAAATGATAATGAAATATGATAAAAATGATTAGAATATACTCTGCCTTATTATTCTATTTAGTGTCATTTTTATATCATTTTAATTTAGGAGGAGTGGGATGTAATAATATTTGTGTTCAATTTTATCATTACATCTTGATAACTTATAACATCAGTACAAAAAATCATAAATGCCTTATTCAACACACAACACCATCAACATATTGGTACAATGAGACACCCCCATTTTTTATGAAATGGAGGTTTTGTTTCTTAAAAGGGTTTCTCCTTTACATACCCCACCATTCTAATCCTTGATAAACATGACATTTAGATCACATATTCGCATTTCAAAATCACATGCTTATTACTATTAAAGCAAAATCATTATCCAATAACTAATGTTACTTTCATATTGATGAAAGCATATTCCAATTTGTCTCAACCATATAATAGAAGAACATATGCATACTTAACTTACCAATAATCCATATTTTTCTGGTCCAATTCTTTTCGAAAGCACCATGATCCTTTCTAATTTCGTTGTGATTAATATGTGTGTGTGAGAGAGATCATCATTACTCCCCTATGGTACCATACACGTTAGACAAAAATTTATTTTTCAAGTGTGACACACACACACACACACACACACATATATATATATATATATATATATATATATATATATATATATATAGACAGACACAATTAATTCCTTTAATGTTGAACAATCAATTACAGGGTTTCTTCAAATTCCAAGATTAACCAAAGGAAATGGACAATACATAAGATATAATCAACGATGCATTTTAATTGAATAAAAAAAGAAATAAAAGAATGGAAACTAGCAATTTGATCTCACTTGGCGATCATTTTGGTGATGAAATCTTCGTAGCGAATCTTGCCATCAGAGGTGACATTAGCGTCATTGATCCATTCGTCAAACTCAAAAGGTTCAAGTTTCTCGCCAATATTGGTAAGAATATGACGAAGCTCTTTGACAGAGACGAGACCCGTAGACTCCTTGTCGATGACCTTGAAGGCGTCACGAAGTTGGCGATCGAAAGGCTCAACCTTTAAATGTTTTCTCATTATATCCAAAAATTGTGTGAAATCAAAGGGCTTAATTAGTTTCTCTTCAGCTACAATGGCCTTTAATTGGGCCTGGGTTGGGTTCCCGCCTAAAGATCGCATTAGGATACCTAGCTCCGATGGAGCGATCAGACCATTACGATTTGTGTCAAACAACGTGAAAGCTTCCTTCATTGCAGAAACTTGTTCCTCGCTTAAGTCTTTACCCATTGTTCTCGATCTTACACCTTCTTGCTTCTCTCTTCCTAAAATGAATCCAAATGTATTTATAGTTGTCACAAATGTGTCGCTTTCTTTACTAAATATATAAAATATTAACTCATGAATTAATCACGTCTTCATCATCACATATATGCATACAATATAACATTGTATTATGCTAAAACTTTAGTCTAAAAGAAGTCCTTTTTACCAAAATAAAGTAAAATATACATATATATATATATATATATATATATATATATGGATTATAAAATAGAATGTAACTAATTTATTTATTTTATTCTATAATTATATTTATAATTCATTGAGTTAATTCAATATATGATTTTAAAAAAATTAGATTGAAGAAACAAACTATCTCCTTATTTAAAATAAGTTCAAATAAATTTTAAATATTATTTATATGGCAAAAAAATGTTATTTGTTTAGTTATATGTAAAAAAGAGAAATAATATTTTACTACGAATACATTTTTATGCTAAAAAAGTAATTTTTGTATTACTTTTATACTATGGATAGAGTAAAAAAAATATAAAATTTGTAATTTTTCATGACTATATATCTATCCCTCTATATATAATTGTTTTGTAGTTTAGGACTTTATTTTCTTTTTTCTGATGTTAATTGTCATTTAGAAGTTATTTTTCAGGGTTGAAGTGACTCTAGTCAGTGATAGATCTTGATCATTGATTTTGGGAGGCCAAATAATATATTATTAATAAATAATAAATAAATATAAAAAGAAGAAAGAATATGAAAGGGTGAAAAGATAAAATTGTAGATATATATTTAAATATATTAAATGATCATTAAGTTTAAGGGGTCAAAATCATAAATTATATGAGAGTTACAAAACTTAAGAGGGATTGAGAGGATAAAATTATAAATATACAAGTAAATATATTAAATATTCATCAAGTTTATGAACCAAAATCATAAATTACATGGGAGTTACAAAACTTTGGGAGTCACAACCCCCTAAACTCCCAATAAGATCCCCTAGTGACTCTAATTCTCTTCTTTCAACAATTCTCACCTTTGTTTTGTGGCTCATTCAATTCAATTGAGGTTCATCTAATCTCCCAACAAAACATTAACATTCTTTCTCTTATTTTATCTTTCTTTGTCTTCCCCCTCCCTCGTGACAACTTCCTTGAATCTTCAAAATAAAACTTCTCTTTATCTAAATACTCTTAAGGGAAGTAATACAAAAATCCAAGGTTCTCTCATCTATTTCCCTTACTTTGAAATTTCCATGTATTATTATATAACTCCATAAAAACACCATATGGATGTTTTACCGAGATGAGTTTCTTTAAAAAAAAAAAAAATATGGATTAAATTATATCATGTGATATGAAAAAAAAATCATAATCTATATTCAAGTATAACAACTGTGATAATATTTAATTATATATGAAAATTTTTAGTTATATTCAATTTAATATATATATATATATATATATATATATATATTAACATATATATGAATTTATTTTGATGTTTTATTTTATTTTATTGAATACAAATTAATACTTAAAACAACTTTTATGTAATTTTCTTTAAAACAAATAATTATATATTTATTATTACTATTATTTATATAATATTTAAATTAAATAAATTTAAAATATTAATATAATTAATAAATTTATTATTTATAGTAAAAAAACTGTAATATAATTTAAAATTGTATTATATAGCACTTCGATTGTAATAATTAAATATAATTGAAATTATATTATGTAAAGATCGAAAAAAAAAACATTGAAATCGTGTTGTTACGTAACAATATTTTTTTTATATTCATATTAAAATTATACTACTCAAATTTATTCATTTTTAAGTCGTAATCAGAAATATGAGTTTTTTATTTTGAAGTTCGTGTTATGAATTAATCCACATTTATAATTTTTTTAAAGTGATCTATTCCAGTAAAATATCGAAAAAAAAACATGTGATATTTTTGCTTATGCAATTCATATAGAAAAACCTCTATCACATTTTTTAATAAGACATGTATGCAATTTGTTTTTATTATATTATATATATAATAACCCAAAAATTATACAGATATATAGTTAAAATACACAAAATAATTTAAAATATGAATTTTTTATGCATACAAAATTATATACATACATGTCGATAACTTAAAAAATAAACAAAATATAAATCTATATTAGTTGTAACTTTATGTCTATTCTTGTTGAAGTCTATTATCTGTAAATTTTGTTCTCGTGTAAATATACGATCATCACATCTCAAAACAATATACAAAATACACATGGTAAATTAGTAATTTAATTTAAGTATACAAAATTCAAATATGATTCAACTTTAAGTTTTCATATTTTACATTACACCTCTATATAGGCTCATATTCACGTCACACATAAACATAAACCTTAAACAACTTCCAGAAGACTAGATATCAAAATAAATATAAGATATTTGCATTTGTCACACCATAATTCTCTCAAGTGCATAATACAATTCAGTTTGATATATACATTAACGTGTGACCATGTTATATTTTTAAATAACTTATCAAGACACAATCATTTTTCATACTGTAAGCTAAGTCATTAGAAACCTCCTCTAACTCTTACAACCTAATCTATGTGATTCCAGTGATGAATAGAATCAGAATATCTTCTCGAGTCCCAAATCAATATTTATACATACAATACTACACATATGATGATATCTGTGATAATTCTCATATCATGAACATTTTTCAAAGAATATAATAACATTTAACACACCTCATTTCATGTTCATAACATGAATTTTAATAGCTTAAACATATACATATCACTTCTTACATTATAACAAAATATAATTTTTTTTTAATTTAACCTCTCTTATTTTTTTATCATAATTTTTTCTCGTAAACATCATTTTCAACTAATTTTGATCTTATTAGATTTTTTATTTTTGGGGTTTTAATTACATATATGGAACATTAATTTTGGAGTTTAAAACAAATATTTTGTGATTTTCAAAAACTGTTGAGCGAATTTGAAAGAGCTAAGCAAAATTTTGATAAAATGAAATCTCAAACACGGTCTAAGATCAGTTGAGCAAAATTTAAAAGTGCTGAGTAAATTTCAAACGCTTTTAACACTGTCTTAAATTCATCGTAGCATAGTAGCAAATTGTATAATTTGCTAAAGACCCTATTTCTAATGCTCTAAATTAAATTAATTCTAAACCTTACCCTTCATATTGTAAATCAATTTATTAAATTTAATCTAAGAACAATATATTCATTCAACACACAATTTTTTTTATCTCATATAAATCAATTATATATTCACATTCAATACAATCATCACAAATAAACTCATACATAATCACAACCTAAATTCTTAAAACTCAAATAATGTGACAAAGTCACCTTCCCAATCCATATATTCTAGTCTAGAGTAGTATGAGAAGAATAACTAATTTCCCTTATCTCAAACACAATGTCTCCAAGTTAAAGAACAAAAAAGTCTAAAATTTTAAAGAAAATAGATCTTGCTCACAAAAGGCTCAAATTACACAAATTGAACTCAAATTACACAAATTAAGGATATCACAATATTCCTAAATGTTGGAATCACATATCAGATAGAACTGATAGAGAAAGATATTTTAGAAAACAACATTACTATTATTATACTTCACGCTTTAAAATGAACAATATACAAAGTTTTTTATATCACAAGTCCTTTTTGCTGTTAGGACAGGATTACAAGGCAATAGAAAACACTGATTTTTTTTCCAGCTCATACTATATGTGACTCAACCTATTGAACTAGAATTAACCAAATACTAACATTCCTCCCTAATTTTAGTTCATAGAGTTTACAAAGTCTGCAACTCCAAGCTTCTTTCTGAAGTTGTAGAATTTTTCTCCTTAAAGTGACTTTGTCAGAATGTCTACTTCCTGTTCATCTGACTTGCAGTATACTAATTTTATTTTCCCTTTCTTCACTTGATCTCTGAGGTAGTGATACTTGGTGCCAATATGTTTTGTTCTTCCATGAGCTATTGGATTATTTGCCAAGCAAATTGCAGATTTTTTGTCCACATTAAGCTGAACAACACTCTCAAGATGGACCTTCATATCTACAAAGAGAGATTCTAACCAAGCGGCCTGACAAGTTGCTGAAGCAACAACAATGTATTCTGATTCACAGGTCGAGAGACCTACATCATCTTGCTTCTTTAAACTCCAATAGATAGATAAACCAAATAGCTTGAAGACATAACCAGTGGTGCTTTTGTTGTCTTCTATATCACCACCCCAATTTGCATCAGAAAAGCTTACTAGTTTAGCTTCTTGACTATGATCTACTTTAGGGAATAGCATACCATAATCAAGTGTTCCTTTCACATACCTCAGAATCCTTTTTGCTGCAGCCATATGAGATGATCTTGGATCATTCATATACCTACTAATCACACCCACACCATAAGCAATATCTGGCCTGCTATGGCATAGATACCTTAAACTGCCAACCATTTGTTTGAAGAGTGTAAAGTCTACTGGTTTCTCTTCAAGATCAGCATCAAGTTTAAGTCCAAACTCAATTGGACTCTTGGCTACATTACATTCAGCCATTCCATATCTTTTGAGTACTTCAGATGCATACTTCCTCTGATGCATTACTAGCCCCTCTTTCTTGTGAACAAATTCTATTACCAAGAAATAGGACATGATTCCAAGGTCATTCATATCAAATTCTTGACTTAACTATTCCTTGAGTTTTTGGACTATGGTTTCATTACTTCCTGTAATTAGAAGATCATCCACATACAAACATAAGATAACTATGTCACCTCTTTTTTCATTAACGTAGACATCATATTCAACTTTTCACTTTGCAAAATCAAGCTTCAGCAAGAATCCATCTATCCTTTTGTTCCAAGCTCTTGGTTCTTGTTTAAGACCATACAAAACCTTATTTAACTTGTATACCAGTTCTTTATCCTCC